GTCTGATTTGTGTCCATTTATCCTTTGGCACAGAGCCATAGCTAGGGAATAGCTATGGCATAGCTAGGGAAAAGATTGGAAGTTTGTGGGTGCCTTTTCACCAGGGCCAATAGACTGCAAAGTAACCATGCTAAGATAATGTGATTTTTTGTTCACCTGTGATGAGCAGACCATATAAAAAGATTTATGAGTTTGGTCTTACAGCTGAGCTGGGCCCTTGGCTCAGACAGTGAAGTTGGTGTTTTTGTTTTTGATTGAAGTTTATTTTTTAATCCAGAGGTCCTGGGTTCAATCCCTCATACAAAAACACATGCAAATAATTGTAGATGGGATGCTGAGGTCTAGGGAGAATGCTGGGAAATATATAGGTATCATTTAACTAGGGATGAACCTGGACCCATATCCCACAGAACAGCAGGGAAGTTTGATAGTGAAATCCATCCTCCCTCAAAACATGCCGGCTGGCCAGCTTGACTTCTGGCTTTTATGGATGAGCTGTAGCCAGCCTCTTTGCTTTGTTACCCAGTCACACCATGCGCACTGAACTATTGTGCCGCACTCCATCTTACATCGTGTTTCCTTCCCTCCAGCCTCTTCTGCAGCTGCTGACGGCCACCTGGGCTGGCTTGCTGAGCTGGGGTCAGAGTGCCATTAATCTTCCATAAGCCTTCTCTTTCTCTTGTGTAAACACCACTCCCCCATACAATGACTCACCCCATTCATGTAACTCATCTTTCTGTAAACAGGCCCTCAGCATTTCCTTGGGGGTGAAGGGCTTTGCGCAGCCCCCAAAGAAACGCTGGTTACAATTTTTCCCGGCAGCTGTGGTGGCTTTCCTGCAGGTCTGGACGCTGGAGTGGCTCCAAACCCTTGAAGTACTAAAAGGCTCTTATGTCAGCCCCAATCTCATCCCTTTTCTTTTTTCTTCCTGATGATCATGAATTCTGAGGGGTGGGAAGGAGAGACCTGGCTGTGAAATCAAAATTGCCCCACACTCCAGCCTAGTGGCATCTGAGTGATGAGCACAGTATTTCAGGAAGGTCAAGGGGCTGCAGTCAAAATGCTGGGACCAATCTGTAAGCATCACAGAGGAAATGGGAACCATCTGCCTGTCCCCTGCTGGGGATTTGCCACAGAGCATAGCCTCTCTCTGTCCCTGGCCAAAGGAGGACATGGGGGCTAGGAAGTGACTGATGTGGGCCGTGCCTTGGCTATCCTCCACTGGCATATGGCCTTTAATTGTGTCTTCTTCCTCCAGACTAGCAATTTGGAGTCTTTTCCTGTCTCTGCCATAGAGTTCCCTGCATATCCTGGGCAAGTCACTTTCCCTGTATGTGCTTCAGCTGCTCATCAAAGAATCATACTTCCTCCCTACCCTGTCTACTCCTAGTGTTAGTTTTTTGTGGCAAGGACTGTCTTACTATCTGGGTGCATCTAGACTGGCAAAAACTTGCCAGCTGTCTACACTGGCCGCTTGAATTTGCACAATAGCACTGACTTTGTAATGTACAAAATCAGTGCTTCTTGCGCAAATACTTTCCCGCTCCGGCTCAGGGATAAGCCCTCTTGCGCAAGAGGGCCAGTGTAGACAGGCACCTTAATTTTTTGCGCAAGAAAGCCCGATGGCTAAAATGGCCATTGGAGCTTTCTTGCTCAAAAGTGCGTCTAGATTGCCACGGATGCTTTTGCGCAAAAGCACTTTTTGCGCAAAAGCATCTGTGCCAATCTAGACGTTCTTTTGTAGAAATACTTTTAATGGAAAAACTTTTCCATTAAAAGTATTTCTGCAAAATCATGTCAGTCTAGACGCAGCCTCTGTGTGTATAGAGCTGCGCCCAGTGTCTCACTTGGGGCCTCAAGTAACTACAGGAATAGTAAATCCTAATCCGCTTTTACCTCTGACATCACAGATTATCATCTTCTCACTAAGGCAATGTGAAAATGGCATGAAGAAACCTGAAGTACATTCTTGGCATCTCTACCGGGTGACCATCTGATATGGGACAGGAGTGAATGCCACCCCAGTTACCAAAGTTCCTTGCATTACAAGGTTCCTATCTAGGGCATTATGGGTACTTACAGCTGGGCCTGTGTGTCTCTGTTGTTGTCAGCTGTCACATAGCTTGCAACAGCTGATTTTTCCCTCCAAAGACTCAGCGGCTGGAGTCACGTGAATAGCAGATTTACAGCTGCCTTTTTTTAAAAATAAATATCTAGCCCCTGTGGTTGAAGAGAAGAGCTTGAAACATGTAACCCAAGTGCTCCCTCGAGCCTCTGTACTCAGAAGGCAAATAAGACTCCCCACCACACACATTTATCTAGTGTTAAAATCTCATTCTTCTTAAGCTCATCTTCTTGAGGCCTAGCTCATGATTTTTTTTAAAACATTTGGGATCAGCCACCCAGTGTCTCAGGCATCTCACTTGAAGTCACTACAAGCCTAGGCAGCAAAGTTGGGTAGAGACGTGCTTCTTCCTCTCTTTTCTTTCCTGTGGAGTTTTCCCTCCTACAGCCGTTGAAAGGTAGGAAATCTTTCCAGAGGTTAAGCTGGTCCCCACTCCCACCCTGCTGGGCTTTTTAAGAGGCAGAGGGACGAGTATTCGGCTATGCCAACCTAGGCTGGGGTGTGCCAACCCAGCAATTGACAGCGGGTGTCATGGCAAGGAGGGAAGCTGCCAACATGCATGTTTTCAGGAACACTTTGAAGTGCAATTATGAGTCTGAATGGGCAAGTGACTCTGGGAACGTGACATCTATTCATTGCCCAGACCCGCTGCCTTGGGCACACATCCCGTTCTCCATGGCAAACACCCCCTGAGTTTTCTGAATGCCAGGACTCTTCCCACCTGAATCCGTATCTGCTTACTTTGTGGGGAAGAGCAAGTTTATTAAACTGCTGCCGGCCAGGAAGAGCCCAGGAAGACGCAAAAGAGCAAAGCCAGACAGAGTTCTGCCTCATACATTGTCAGTAACAGTGGCTGTCTATGGACCAATCCCAGGACCCTTACTGCTGGTGATAAAGCAAAGGGCACATAGGTAGATGTGCACTGCCAGAAGCAGACCAGTCTATCCAAGCTAATTATCTGCCCCTCCCCCCAACACCACAAATCCAAACACCTTATCATCTGTAATGCCTTTATCCGCACCCTAGACCTGCGGGGGCAGGAAGTGCTATTACCCCCATTTACAGACAGGGAAATCAAGGCATGGAGCGTTGAAGTGCCATATCCAAGGCCAAGCAGGGAATCTGTGCCCGGGCAGGGGACTGAACCCACATCCCATGTTAGAGCCCTAACCACTGGGCCAACCTTCCTCACTCATCCATTGCTGTGCATTGTGAGGACACTGGGTTCCTAAAGGCATTTTGAGAAGATTATGCAACTGTTTCTCTCATCTGAACAAACTGTGGTGAGAGCAAAGGGTGGAGGCACAGGTGCCCTAGCTTATGCCTGGGTTGCCTGTGGACCCTCTTGGAGGCCATCCAGGGAGTCAGGAACCAGGCGGAGGAACACAGAGGACAGGCCACTGTCTCTTTTGCCACAGGAATGGGGTGTTTGGAGTTGCTATGCAATTCAGAGAGTTCTCCTTATTTCAGGAGAATTCCTAAGTGGCTGCTTTGGGGGGCTCTTCTAAGCTGGTAAGGCTGCTTCATGACCTCTCCTTTAGTGAAGAATGAGGACGGGTGGGATTCAGGAGATCAGGCCCTTATCCTGAAGCTGGGACTGCACGAGAGGAGCCAGCTAGAGGGAGGCTGTGCTAGCCAGGTTAGTGCAAAGGGCAGGATCATGGCCAGACTAGCAGGGGGCTCATCTGCACCAGTTGGGAGCCTTTGCAGATCCACTGTTCTAATCTTTCTCTTGCTGTGTTTCAGGTTTGAATTTAAGCCCTCCGGACCTTCCGAAATGGAAGAGGATGAGGGGTTCAGCGACTGGTCCCAGAAGCTCGAGCAGCGCAAACAGAAGTGGGCCAGCGAGGGAGCACAAGCAGGGGAGCGAACGTCCCCCCAGGAATGGAGAGAGGCCCAGGAAGTTGTGCCTACTTGCAGAGGAGAAAGGTACAGCAGTGAAGGGGCTCTGCCAGAGAGGTGTTATCTTGAGGAGCACAGCAAGGTGGGCGTGGGCAGAGCTGGGTCTGCAGGAAGGTCTAATCTGACAACGCAGAGACAATCAACCCACTATCATTTGTGCTGTTGTGGACAGGCAAGCTCATGTCCTAATGCCCCAAACTTTGGTGATGGTCAGGGTCAGATGCAGCTTCCATAACTTTGGGGCAGACTGAAGGGCCCCTTATACATCCCAACCCTGACTCCTGCACCCCATGTCCCCAGCCCTAACACTCCTCCATCCTACCACCCCAACTCTTTGCCCTGAGCCCCTCATATACCCTAAACACATCCTGAGCACCTCAGACACTCCAACCCTGACTCCTGAACCCCCATGTCTACAGCCCCCTGCCCTGAGCCCCTCATACACCCAAAACACATCCTGAGTCCCTCAGACACTCCAACCCTGCCTTCTGAACCCCACATGTCTACAGCCCCCTGCCCTAACTACTGCACCCCCCACTCCCCAACCTTCTGCCCTGTGCCCCCCAAACTCCACCCTGCACTTAGATTTCTTACAGGTATTGTTGTATCACAATCTTTAGTTCCTGTTTTAAGGCTCCCCCCAAGCGGGGGCAGAGGGGAGGAGGTTGCGATAGGACAGTTCCTGTAAGCAATTTAAATTACTTTTACCCCTGACCATTAGAGCTGGTCCCTCCCCCCCACCGCCACTCCCAGTTGAGAGGTTAGCCCTTTAGCTTTAGCCAAGTCTAGACCCCCCGTCCCAGTATCAGCAATAGATATACCCCCAAATCTCTCAGTTACCTCTGGCAAATCCCTCTCTGGGGGGCATCCGGATCAGAGCATCACAACTCAGCCCCATTGTTAGTCTGATGTTACTGGGGCTTTTGCTGAAAGTGTCTTAGTTCCAGAAGCGTGAGAAGCTGCATAATGAACATGATGAAATATGGCTCTCTCTGACTCTCCAGCTCCGTTTCTTTTCAAACCCCTTTTGAAAACTAAATCAAATCTAAAGCAACATCTCACTCCTGTTTAAGGGGCTAATCCTACTAATGCTCACCCGTGCTCAACGTTTTACACAGCACCCACCCTATTGACTTCCATCAGAGTTGCAGGACTAGGGCTTTTATTACGAATGGGTCTATTTGCCCCAACCTCACCCTCCTCCTTTCCTTCTCTTTCTGTGGAGGTTCCTTGCTGGAAGGCTTCAGCTCTGCTCTCTAATGTGAGCAGACCTGCATTTGCTTTGCCTCTACCTGGGAGCATTTTCCGTCTTTGTTGACTGGAAGTGTTGTATCTCATTTGCCCACTTTTGCCTTGCAACGCTACTTTAAAAAAAAACAATTTGCATCTTTTTCTCTCACTCAACAAACAAGAGCGGTGTGAGGTGAGGCTGCTCTGCAGTTGCTGGGAGAGAGAAAATTGCAAACACCTGTGGCAGGTGAGGCTCAGAGGGGGTGGGGAGTGGCCAAGCAGCTGTCATCTGGAAAGCATTTAAATTCAGTCCCTGTAGCCCATCAGCTTCTTATTTGGAGGCTGCTGAAGTGATGTAGTAAAGGGGCAAGCTAGGGGGATCATTCGCCTGCTCCCTTGTTTGTGGGTGTAATTTGTAGGAACCATAAACCTGTAGCAAATTCCATTTTCCTTCCTATAACTGTGCTCTGTAAAAGCACTTCTTTTCCCTGCTTCTGCACTTGGAAGCCCTGTGTGGGCACTCAGGTATGCCTTGTGTTCTGCTTTCTCCCTGGTATTCAGCAGTTGTGCCTGCTCTCCATGCTGAAGGACTGTGACTGTCATGGAGAAGGCTGTTGAATTTCATTCCTGAGGTGTGCCTGGGATCCCTTCCTGTGGGAGTGATTTTCATGTCCTAGTCTTACATCACTGCAACGAGCAGGGAGAGTTATGCTCTCCTGGATACAGCAGGAGTTGTGCCCGAGGCCTTGTAGTGTTAGCTGTGACTTTCTCTGAGCTTTGGCGTTGGGGCACTGCGCTCTTGGGGCTACAAGAGCCACATTTGATTCTTGCTGAAACTGTGACGCTGATTCTGAATAGCCCCGGTAGGCAGCAGAATGGCTGCTTGGCTATGGGTATGTGGTAATGCGCCAGTGGTGGCAGTGTCAGATTGGCTGTCTCTGGTATCACAGCATGTGCGTTGGGTACGTGCTCTGCATAGCAGAGGTGTCGGGTTTTAATGCTAAAGCAGGCCTGTGCCTTAAGGGTGGGCAGACCTGACTGGCTGGGCTAGCTCTATCCAGAATTGGTTGTTACTGGAGCTGAAAGTCTTGCTGGACCCCTAGGCAAGTTGCAGGGGGTGCCTGTGAGCTCCTAGAAGTAGCAGGGCCTTGGATGGATGGGGCTGGCCTGAAGCAGTCAGCCCTGCCCAGGGTGTGCCATGCTCCCTCCCCTACTGCCAGCCCTTAAACTTGCCTGGAGCATGCCATGTAGTGATTTAAAGGTCCCAGGGCTGTTGCGGCAGCAGCAGCACCTGAGAGCCCTGGGGTAGCTGTCCCCTTTGTTGCCCCTCTCCACACTGGTGGGTCTGAGGGCATCTCTACAGTGGAGTGCAGCACCTGGGGCTGGCCAGCGTTAGCTTCTTTGGGTGAGAGTTTCAGGGCTATAAAACTTTCATGGCCCGGAGTGGAGCTGGCACCCTTCTTACCATAAGGTCAGGGAGTCTGTGCTCCAACCCAAGTCTGGAAAGCCACACTGCGGATTCATAGCCCTGGGACCCTCCGTCAGTTGGCATTGGTCAGCCCTGAGTGTTTAACTGCAGTACAGAGAGTCTGGTGTGAGAGAAACCATGATTACGGCAAGTGGGTATTTGCTTTTTCATTGGACGTATTAGGCCTGGCCCTGCCCAGGGGTCTCGGGAAGGGGGACCAGACTGCTGTGGCTGTATCTGGGAGGTGGGGACTCTACCCCGTCCCTTGTGCAACGCTGCTGTAAGGGAGGGGTAGAGCCGGCAGTAGCTGCTGCTTCAGGCAGTGTCACAGTAAAACATGAGACCCCTTCTGTCCACTTGCTGCAGGGTCGCTAGCTGCCATTTCAAGGTACTCTAGTAAATATGAAGTCTCTCTCCAGAGCACTTAAGCTTGCAGGAGCCCTGGCTCTTTTGAAATTGCTGGGCCCTGGGGCAATTGGCCACTTTGGGGGTCGGGGAGATGAGTGGCCCTGGCTGTCCTGGCAGAAGGGATGGTGCCTGTGGGGGGTAGGCATTTGGAGCAGGCAACTGGGAGTTAGATGTCTTATGCATAAAGGGTTTGAAGCAGGCAGTTACGAGTAACAAGCAAATGTTACAATTGTTGTAATAAGGATACAAAATCCAGTGTCCCTGTTGAGTTCAGGGCTTTCGGTGTCCAGCAAAATTGTTCACCTGGCAAAATATAGGTGAGATCCAACCCACTGAACATTTGGATCTGGCCTGCTGTGGCCTTGCAGGACCCTTGGCCTTCCTGACTGCCACAGATCAAAGCATGCATGGTTCTGCACAGCATGTGCTGTAAAGGGGGGGGGGGGGGGGGGGCACCTATGGGGGC